AAACAGCACCCAGCCCAGACAAGGTCAGACCCGAACAGCTGAAGAACCTGCCATCCGTACTCATAAATACACTGGCTCTGCTCTTCACACACTACCTGTATGAATGCAAGGTTCCATCCCAATGGAAAACCAGCAGGACTGTACTACTGTACAAGAAGGGAGACATTCACGACATTGTCAACTATTACCCAATCTGCCTGTTGTCTGTCATCTACAAGCTGTTCACTTGAGTCATCCAGAATAGGATTGGCAGAACACTAGATGAAGGACAACCATGTGAGCAAGCTGGTTTCCGAAAAGGACTTAGCACAATTGACCATATCCACATGATAACCAAGCTCATTGATGTTTCTTGGGAGTTCAAGATGCAGCTCTGTCTAACATTCATTGATTTAAAGGAGGCCTTTGATTCTGTTGAGACTGAAGTGGTCATCGAAGCCCTAGCCAAACAGGGCATTCAAACTCAGTACATCAGGATCCTCCGAGAGCTGTATTGCAGATTCACTACCAGGATTTCACCATTCTACAGGGAGGTGATCATTGACATCAAGAGAGGGGTTTGTCAGGGTGATACCATTTCACCGAAACTTTTCAGTGCCACCCTCAAGAATGTCATGTGACAACTAGACTGGCAAGGAATGGGAGTGAAGATAGACAGTCAGCAACTACACCACCTCCGCTTCGCTGATGACATCATTCCTATAACACCAAACATCAGCCAAGCAGCACAAATGCTGGCTGACTTTGACTGTGAGTGTGGAAAGGTCGGACTACAGCTAAACCTCACAAAGACAATGTTTATGAGAAATGGTCTCGTTCCTGACGTTCCATTCACTCTCAACAGGACAAACTTCTCCAAATGCAACAGTTATGTGTACCTAGGTCAAGAAGTCAACATGACAAATGATCTGGCACCTGAGTTGCGCAGGAGGAAGAGAGCAGCTTGGAATGTCTTCAAGAACATCGAAGAAATAGCCAAGAGGACAAAGAACCTCTGGCTCCAGGCATATCTCTTCGATTCCACTGTTCTTCCTTCATTAACACATGCCTCAGAGACCTGGGCCCTATGAAAATAGGACGAGAACGCTATTTGGGTCTCCCAAAGAGGAATCGAAAGAGCTATGTTTGGAGTATCATGCTTCACTCAAATGAGAGAAAGAATCCAGAGTTCCGACCTCCATCAATGGTCAAGAATCAGGGACGCTGTCTCGTTTGCCAAGGCATCAAAATGAGATGGGCTGGACACGTAATGAGCTTTGGAGACGACTGCTGGACTAGAGCCATTACCAACTGAATTCCATGGGACATCAAAAGATCGTGTGGCAGCCCACCTATGAGATGGTCAGACTTCTTTGTCAAGGCCCTGAACAATCGGTTTGAGGCTCTTCGTGTTCCTAGAATGAGCAGACGCCATGGGCTACATTAGTACATGACAAGAATGAATGGAGATGTTACTGGCGCCCTATTGAGCGAATTGATGAGTAATGTGATGTCAAGTGATCAAGTGAAGTGATTTTGAATATTGTGAGAGCTCACATGGGTGTGATTGTGATTGTAAATTTCTAGATTGTAAATGGTTGGGTTTCAGAGACATCTCTGTATGGCACTAATCCATTTTGGTATTCAATTGCGAGCCTCTGGGCCAGGGCTGTTGGTGTGCTAAGATGGTGCCTGGAGGCTAGTTGTGGAGATGACAGTCAGTCTTCTGGGTGGGTGGGGACCCAAGGTGGGACAGCCCAGTCTCTCTGCTGCCATGTGGCCTGGAGACGTAGTCCTGGAACCTGCATACCTGGGCCTTGCTTGTGGAAGCTCTTGGTCACCTGGATTCCATCTGGATTAGGTAGGGAGATTGCACCTGCTCCATTTGGGGTGTCCCAGTAATATTGGCTTGGTATGGGGCCTGGAGAAATCTTTGCCACTGTGGTGTTTTCCGGGACCTGCTACTGTGTCTCTGGGCCAGGGCTGTTTGCGCACTAAGATTCACATTATGAAATTTTCAGCAGATTTTATCTTGGTGAGGTCCATCCTGAAATGGTGGAGTCAGGCTTGGGGTATGGCGGCAATTTTGGATTGTGGAAGCAAGTGGCTGCCGGGATCTCTGCTTGGGCGGGCACAGGCTAACCCGCCCCCTCCAATTTAGTCCGAACTGTTCAACCATGTATGGATCTGAGCTTAACTGTGGCTTCTGATCTCTTTTGAGATTTATTTAGGGGTCTCTGAGTCAAAACCAATAGTAGAGCTTACAGGGTGGTGCTGAAGTTGGTTCATGGGATGACTGCCAGTTCTTCCATGTGTATTGGGATGTGGGGGAGGTAACCCATCCCAACTCTGGGTGAGCTTGTATAGCTGAGCTATAGGTGGTTTGTGTGTGTGACTCCCACATACCTAATTTTTGTCCATTTAATTTCTTGGTAACTTGTTCCCAAGTTGTTGGGGTCTGGCCAAAGGCACAGTGGCAATTTGGGGGTATCAGGAAACCTGAAGGCAACATCAGGCTGCTGATGCACTTGCCCTGCAAGTACAGGTTGACCTGTTGGTGGCACTATACCCCCTTTTTTCTTCTTCTTTTTAATTTTATATCCCACAAAAGAGTGTAGTCATTCTATGTCTGTCCTTTTCCTTCTGACTTATTTCACTTAGCATGATACTTTCCATTTCCATCCATTTATAAATAAATTTCATCACAAGCCAGGTTTGATTCCTCCACCACTCTCCGAGAGCCCGGCAAACTACCGAGAGTATCTCACCCACGCAGCAAAGCCTGGCAAGCTATCCATGACATATTCAATATGCCAAACACAGTAACAAGTAACCTCACAATGGAAATGTTACTGGGCCCACTAGAACAAATCGATGAACAATGGGAGGACAGTGCTACAGTGCATTTTTCCCTAACAGCTGTATAGTATTCCATTTTTGTATATGTACCAAGTTTCTTTAACCAGTAGTCTGTTCTCAGGCACTCAGGTTGTTTCAAGATTCTGGCTATTGTGAAAAGTGCTGCAATAAACAAACAAGTGTAGCTGTCATTTCTGTGATGGATCTTTGCAGCCCAGCGGTATACTTCCAGAAGTAGCATAAACGAATGTTTAAACCAGCTACACAGTGTCCTTATTGATATGCTGGGTTTAAATACATCCTCTTGTTATTTATTTTTTATTTGTACTAGTTGATGCTTTTCTATCTTCCTTTTATTTCTGTCTCCTTTTAAAGTACTTGAAAAAAAATAAAGTACTTGAATTTGGTTTTCGTTTTGAGTCTACTCCCAGCTGTTCTCCAAGGCTTCCTCCAAGCACTGTGATTCAGAGGTCAATCCTGATTGTACTTGGAGGACCACCTGTGGGACTGGGAATGAACCAGAGTTGGCTGTGTGCAAACCAAATGATTTATCCTTTATACTATCTCTCTGTTGTTACTGTTTTTGGCATATCGAATACATCACGGGTGGCTTGCCAGGGTTTGCCATGCAGGCGAGATACTCTCAGTAGCTTGCCGGGCTCTTCGAGAGGGGTGCAGGAATCGAATCCAGGTTGGCCACATTCAAGACAAATGCCCTACCCACTGTGCTGTCGCTCCAGCCCCAAAACAGTAACAACATGTCTCACAATTTGTTGTGAGACGTTGCTGATGCCCGCATCAAGCAAATCGATGAACAATGGGAGGACAGTGTTACAGTGCTATCGTCTCTCTGGCCCCTTACAATTTATTTCCTTTTTAAAAAGTTTACTAATTGATTCAGGACTTGTTGGAGGAATCATTAGTTTATAGCACCTTCCTCCAAGTGTACTACTTAAAGTTCCTTTTTTCGCACTTCAAACAATTTGTTCATACGATTGTTATAGACTTTTGATGTCCCAATACTAATCCCACCAGCTGAGTGACCTTCCTCCACTACTGTCTCCATTTTCCCAATAGCTCCCAAGCCTGCCCTTTTAGCAGGAACACAGTAATTTATTTTATATCAGTTGTTAGAACCAGATGGCTAAAGGAATTATCAAAAATACTTCAATAAAATAAAATTTTGTGAAAAGTGTTCTATCTCACCACAAGGTTGTTAAGTCTTTATCTGAGGCTAGCTGAATTGCAAAATACTGTGGAATACATGCCAAAGTGATCCAGAAACTTCAGAATCTATAGAAATGGGATGAATCTACAGAGATTCTTAGTGAAGCTATAGTTAGTCTGTAAGCCATTGGCATGTTGATGGCAAAGGAGTGTGGGTGCAGCATCTGGGGCTTAGGCAGGGCAGGGACATGGTCCACTCTCCTCCCAAGGTCGCCCCGGAGTTTTGAGGGGGTTGTGTGAGCGTGTCTATGTTTTTAGCAGTGTGTTTTGCATCCCCTTGGAGATTTAGTTCCTGAATTTGAAGAGCAGGGTGGTTGACCCTTCTTCAAGTTACATATAAGAACATTGCAATCATTTTATTTCCATTTATCTCTCCAAATATGTACACTTAGAATCATATATTCTAATTTTACAAATGTTACAAACCCCACCACATTGTTATTAGTTTTTGTGAACTAACTTTGAAAACTAATTCACAATAAAGTTTTGTTCATCTCATGTCATTACCATCAGTGCTCTCAGCCCCATGTTTGCCTTTGTTATATTTCCTTCTGCCATAATTGATGGCATGCCTCTGTTTGTGATGGTATTTTTTAGCTAGTGTGTATATATTTAAAATCTTTACTTCATCTCTTATCCCACACCTTCATGCTGAAATAATTGTTTGCTGAGTAGTTTTTGCTTGGTGACATTTATTTTCCTTAAAGAAAAAACTATTTTGCTTTACGTGTGTTGTTGAAGTGAGAGATCTGCTTCTATCTTATTACTCCTCTCTACCTAATATATCTCTTTTAGAGTTGTATCTTCACTGGAGATGCTTGATTTCCTTCATATTATTATTTAAATATAACAATAAAATTGTAACACAGAAGATGTTATAGAGGTTAATATCTTTTTGGTTTTAGATTTAATCACTGTATCTCTCTCTTTTTTAGGATACAGTGATTTATGAACGACTTTCAAAAGATTCTCTCTTTGTGAATGAGACATTAACACATCTGGAATGTTTTGCTAGAGAAGGTAAGTAGAAATTGTTTAGAATTGTTCTCTCTTTGGCAATGCTGTTCATAAATGTAGCCTAAATGCATGACATACTTGCCACTGATACTTGTTGGGTACATGGGTTTGCAAAGGGGACCTACTTTGTGTGTGACTTTGCAGTGCCTTATGTTTGCTTAAAAGTTAAATGGGTCTCCAGTTGAGACATTAATATTTTTCATTTATCGTTCTCTCCAACAGTGTTATGTGTTTGTTTTATTTTGGGGTCACTTCCAACAATGCTCAGGGGTTACTCCTGGCTCTATGCTCAGGGATCACTCCTGGCACAGTGCTTTGGTGACTATATGTGATGCAGGGAATCAAACCTGGGTCAGCTGTGTATCCACTATACTATCTCTCCAGTCCCTATATAAATGTATTTACTGTAGTTCTTCCTTTTTGCCTGCAGACTAATAGACTAATGGTTTCAGTCTATTACTTATTTCTATTGGCTAAGTATTACCATTTATCAAGTCATACTAAGAATTTGATCCATAGTTGGAGAAAAAGGTGGGCTTTTCCAATACATGTTATATATTTTGACATTATTTTATGAAGATATAACTAAGAGTTGAGAGTTATTTTCACGTTATTCTATATTAGTCTTCTGATTTTAACATTGTCCTTTGCTTAAGGAAATATAATACCATGAGTAAGTATTTAACAAGCACAAACAACATGGACTAATGGATTTATAGAGGATCTGAAGAGTCTGGAATTAAAATATAATGTAAGAGTAAGCTTTTTCCCCTTTAGAGAAGCCATGTTCTCTCTTGAACATGTATCTCTCTTTCTATCCCCTCACATGTCTCTAAATTTCTTTTAATTAAAAACCACTTTGTTTCACTAATAAATAAAATATGAGTCAAGTTAATAAGACCTCAAAACTGGTACCTAATTTCTGCTTTTAGTTTATAAGCTGATGTTTTATACAAGCACATGTATCTGTTTTAAAACGATGGGTATTTTTCAAAGTTTCTCCTTTTTTTGTTTAATTCTCTTAAACTATTCTTGTGTTATAGGAAGGCTACAAAGGGTAAACATATATTATCATAACTATATTGTAATTGAAGTTGAAACAAAATAACAGGGGCTGGAGTTCTATAGTGGTTTGGGTTCTTGCTTTACGTGCGGCCTACCTGTCAGTACCCCAGCACTCATATGGTCCTCTGAGTCTGCCAGGAGTGATCCCTGAACTCAGAACCAGGAGTAATCCTTAAGAATCACCAAGTATGGCCCCAAAATAAAACAAAACAACAAAAAAACCCCGTAAAACAAAAAATTAAAATAACAACCCACAGCTCTTCTGTGAAGATTTAAGTTCTAGGAATTCAAAGTATTTAATGTTTTGGAGCAGTAGGTACCAAAATTTGGAGTCCTGTGCTGTTCAATAAATTTTCAAGCAAGTCTCTGCAAACAGAAATTTAAATTAATTTGTTATAACTTTATTTTGCTTGCTCTAAAATTGAAAAAATAAAAACCCATTTGCTCATTCATTAATTCAATAGTTAATGAGCATCTGCTGAGTGCCACATACTGTTCTAAACTTCTGAAGTAGAGGTATATATAAACAATTAGTAAAACATGCCCTCAAAGAATAAGTACTACTGCACACTTACTAAATATAACAGCAAAATTATGAAGCAATTAAAAGAGTATTGCCAGTAATACATATTAGTGGCTATAATTGCTGTGGATAAAAAATAATTAGGATAAGGGGAACACAGAGTCTTCATGATAGAGGAGGGAGAGGCAACAGCTGAATTCCAGGGGAACATTTGGATAAAGCTTAGAGAGGCAAGGATCTATGGTGAGCTATGAAGAGGGGGCAGGTGAGATCAGCAAGGCAGCATTGGGTAAGTCAGGTAGGGTCACACAGAGGACCCCACATTTGTATGAATTTTAAAATGCTTTTGAATATTATTTTCAAATTATTTTAATAATTCCAGATCACTAGTAATTTGATCAAAATATACTATATTCTTTTTTTTTAGGCTTGAGAACTCTTTGTATTGCATATACAGATTTATCTGAGGAAGAATACCAGAATTGGTTGGTGGAGTATCGCAAAGCTAGTACAATTGTAGAAAACAGGACTAAACATTTGGAAGATTGCTATGAAGCTATTGAAAAGGTAAACAGAGCCCATATCTACTCTACATGTCAGGATAAATATGTAAAGAAAATGCATTTATTAATGTCTTGCATTTTGCTTTAATTTAAAACTCAAATACTTTTTCTCTCTTAATTGTAAATCTGCCTTGTATTGAAAACTCATAATTTGTTGTTGTGTGTGTGTAAGGGGGTGAGGGGTGGTTTACTTGGGTCGCACCTAACTGTGCTCAGAGCCTCATTCTGAGCACATAATTCAGGAAACTATGTTCTTAACCATCATATAACACTGTCTCATATTGTGGTGTAAAGAAACAAATACATTGATGGGAGTAAAGGTGTGTGCATGTGTATGTGTATGTGTGTGTATATACATGCTATTTACATAACTACTTATTAGGTTATATATCTTTTGTCGTAATTTGATCTTTGTTACACCTTAAACATATTATCTTTAATTTATAACAAAAAAGTATCTCTTTCAAAAATATTTAGCAATTTCTGCTGCTTGGTGCAACAGCCATTCATGATCACCTTCAAGACCATGTTCCAGAAACAATAACAACTTTACTGAAGGCAAACATAAGAATATGGGTCTTGACAGGAGATAAACAAGAAACTGCAATTAACATAGGTAATACAAATAAATTGAATTTTAAAATACCTTAATATACATTGATTTAAAACACATTCTTTAAACTTTGGTACATCTACACAATGGAGTACTATGAAGCTGTTAGAAAAGATGAAGTAGTGAAATTTACATACAAGTGCTACTACATGGAAAGTATCATGCTAAGCAAAATGAGTCAGAAAGAGAGGGGCAGACATAGAAAGATTGCATTCATCTGGGGTACATAAAGTAACAAAATAGGAGACTAACACCCAAGAATAGCTGAGATTAGTACCAGGAGGTTTACTCCATGGCTTGGAGGCCAGCCGCACACTCTAGGGGAAAAGGCAGCTCAGACAGAGAAAGGGACACCAAATAAAGGGTGTTGGGAGGATCCTCCCAGGATGGGAGATGCATACTGAAAGTAGACTATAGACCGAACATGATTCCCACTCAATGTCTCTTTTGCAAACCACAGCACCCAAAAGGAGAGAGAGAGAGAACAAAGGGGAATGCCCTGCCACTGAGGCAGAGTGGGATGGGGGGGATGGGGGGGTGGCAGGGAAACTGGAATCAGTGGTGGTGGAGAATGGACACTGGTGGAGGGATGGGTACTCAATCATTGTACAACTGAAACCCAAGCACAAAATTTGTAAGTCTACAACTGTACCTCATGGTGTTTTACTCATAAAAATTTAAAAAATATATGTTCTTTACATCAAGAATATATAGTTGAACTCTATTCACATAATTGTTTTTCTGTTGCTGGAAAATGTAGTCCAATAGAATTTTGCCACCACATCACAAAGATGTTGAACAGACTAAATAAAACAACTTGTTCTGTCTCCTTCACATTTTCAAAACACAGAATGCAGCATTTTATTTACTGCAGAATACATTATAATGTGACTTCAAGTTTTGAAGTTATGGTATTGGTTTCCTATGAAGTATATCATTAGTATATGTATTTGTAGTGTCTATGTTTTTTCATGGTACTTTTTATTATTATGAAGAATATTCAGTTGGTAGATATTTTTCAAACTCCAATGTCTCTTTTTTATTGCCTTTATAGTTTTTTACTTAATTTTTATTATATTTTAGAATTAAGATTATCAGAAAAGGAGTTAAAAAAACAACTGTTAGCTGCAAATATGTGAATTTTGGTGGTGAAAGAGTTGACACTGTTATTTTTTCCTGTGATCATCTGGCTAAATGTAGTCAGCTCCAGATACATTACCATATATGATATGCTGACTATGCATGAGAAACTCTTTAATGTTAACCACATTGATTTGTTTAATTTATATTCATTAATTTAACAGTGTTTCTAAACCTTTTTCTGACCATGGCCACCTACTAATCTTCTTTACTTCCTATGATCCTCCCTGTCCTAGTAATTGCCACCCCCCTTCCCCCCCAGTCTCAGACTGTGATCCATTATTTACATGATTTTCACCTGTGGGCCCCTTGGAACGTCCTCGAAATACACAGATTCAGACAACTTCTAAATGAGAACCATTTGATTTAGTGAATATTGAACACTTCCTGTAATGAATGATAAATATTGAACACTAGTTGAGAACTGCTGATTTTTTAACTATTGAACACTTGATATATTTAAGGAAGCTCTAGAATGCAGGGATGAAAAATTGAAAAAGAAAGTCTCTGCCCTCAGGGAATGTATATTCAAGTGAAAAACATAGAATATTAATATACAATCAATGTGAACTGTAATATTCTGGTATAAAAACATAAGTCTGCTGGTTGATTGCAACTGGCAGCCTTCTTATTTAAATTTGAATATTTTCGGGCCCTACATTGAATTTTATTGTCTTGTCTTAGAGCCGATTCTGATGGAAAGATAGGCAGAAAGATAGTCTGTGAACTTTGCCTGCTATAAACTGAAGACATTGCTGACATAATTTGTTTTCTAGAGCTTTCTTGTAAGCTCTTTCTTTTTCCTAGAAAAGTATTATCCTTTGGTTAGCCATTTTTGTACTATCATGGTTCAATGGTTGGAGGATCGATATTAAAAAAGAAAAATATCTTTCTATGTCTATCCCTCTCTTTCTGACTCATTTCGCTTAGCATGATACTTTCCATATTGTACCACTTGTATGTAAAGTTCATGACTTCATCTTTTCTAAGAGCCACATAGTACTCCATTGTGTAGATGTACCAAAGTTTCTTTAACCAGTCATCTGTTCTTGGGCACTCAGGTCTCTTCCAGTTTCTGGCTACTGTAAAGAGTGCTGCAATGAACAAACAAGTGCAGATGTCACTTCGGCTACACGTTTTTGCCTCTCTGGGATATATTCCCAGGAGTGGTATCGCTGGGTCAAATGGGAGTTCAATTTCTAATTTTTTGAGGAACGTCCATACTGTTTTCCAGAAGGGCTGAACCAGTGGACATTCCCACCAACAGTGAAGGAGTGTCCCTTTCTCGCCACATCCACGCCAGCAACGGTTGCTTTTGTTCTTTTGAATGTGGGCCAGTCTCTGAGGTGTGAGATGGTATCTCATTGTGGTTTTGATCTGCATCTCCCTGATGATTAATGATGTAGAGCATTTTCTCATGTGCTTTTTTGCCATTCGGATTTCTGGAAAGTATCATGCTAAGCGAAATGAGTCAGAAAGAGAGGGATAGACGGGATAGACATAGAAAGATAGCATTCATCTGGGGGATATAAAATAATAAAATATGAGATTAATACCCAAGAATAGCTGAGAGCAACACCAGGAGAATTACTCCATAACTTAGAGGCCAGCTGGGTATTCTAGGGGAAAGGACAATTCAGATAGAAAGGGGAACACCAAGTGGAGGGTGTTTGGAGGATCCTCCCAGGAGGGGAGATGCAGGTTGAAAGTAGACTGGACTGAACATGTTCGCCACTCAATGCCTCTTTGACTGATCACAGCGCCCAGGAGGAGAGAGAGAACAGGGGGGAATGCCCTGCCACAGTGGCAGGGGGGGATGGGGGGATGGGAGGATGGGGGGGAGGGATATTATCCTGGTGGTGGAAAATGGGCACTGGTGGAGGGATGGGTATTTGATCGGGGTATGACCGAGATCCAAGCACAAAAATTTGTAAATCTACAACTGTACCTCATGTCGTTTCACTAATAATAATAAAAAAAAAGGGGCCATGTTTTAGTATACTATTCTATTCTAGGAGTAGTATAAATAGTAGAAATTCCCTATCTGAATCTGCTCACAGGATGATAGACCAGAGGCGGAAGCATGAAGTTAACACTTCCCAACTAACTTTCTCCACAAAGTTTAATATCTGAAGTCAGAGAAATAATTTAAAAGGCTCCAATAAGGATCTTACGTGAGCAAGACCCTGAGTTACATTCCTACCATCACGTGTCCCCACTGACCATAGGATGTAGATTTGGAGACCCCCCAAACAATTCCAGATATGGCCGAGAAGACAATCTGCTCTGTTGGACCCCACCAGCATCATACTGGTCCAAGCACTGAACTATCAGATTTTGTTAGCCAAGTATCATCAGGAGTGACCTCCTGGCACTTGAATATAGCTAGGACGTTTCTCCACTAGAAGTGTTTGGCATCTGAACTAGACAATATTAGTCATCATGAGGGAAAAACAATCTTGCAGCTATGGCTGTCACTTGTTGGAAGGCATCTTCAGCCAGAATGCACTTGTGTCAATTTTCTGTAAGGCAAAAGATAAACTCTGAATTTGGATTTTTCCAATGGAATACTGTGTTAGGAATTACATTGAACATTTGCTGTCTCATAAGTATAAACTTGCCTTTAAAGTAGAGAAAGATTTATTTCAACATGTGAAAATGGATAAATTATTTTTGACAAAAATACCCTAAAGACACATTTTCATACTTTCTAAAAGTGAAATTGTGGATGGTTTCCTGGAAGCAAAATATACTACATGGTGGGGTTTTCTTTGCTTTTATGTTGTTTCTCCAAAAGATTTCTCTAATGGTTTTGCATTGGACTGAAAAGTACATTAAAAAGGTTCAATATAAAAAAAAAGAAAAATATAAAGCTAAATTTAAAAAATTAAAGATTTAGAGAATTTCATAAATATGAGGCAGTTGAGGAGAAATATTTCATCACATTTGTGTCCTCCCTTATACGTCTCTTCTGTTTAATTTTGAAATGAGAATCAGAAAATTTTCAAGTTGAAACCCTGTAAGGTTTATTGTATAATAACATTGATTGATAGAATTGTTTAAACTGATATCTTTTGAAATATCTCATCTTATAAGCATGCTAAATATAGTGCCATTAATTTAGTGAGCAACGAAAATAATCTTCATCAAAGGCCTTGAATTATTATAAGGAATGAACATAAGCTCATCACAGAAAGATGTAAATTAAAACCCATTGACGTTTAAGAGCTTAGATGAAATCTCTTATTGTATATACCTTCAAAACAATATTTGTTTCCCACTAAAGGGCGTTTGCCTTACACGCGGCCAACATGGCCGACCCGAGTTCGATTCCTCCACCCCTCTCGGAGAGCCAGGCAAGCTACCGAGAGTATTCGATATGCCAGACACAGTAACAACAAAGTCTCCAATGGAGACGTTACTGGGCCCGCTCGAGCAAATCGATGATCAACGGGAGGGCCTTTACCTTTAAAATTAAAGTAAATATTTATATTTATTTGCTCCCTTCAGCCTTTTGTTCAGTTTTTGTGATGCACTTCCTAATTTGTTTTTGAGCCACACCCAGTGATGTTCGTGGGTTACTCCTCGTTCTGCACTCAGGGATCACACCTGTTAGGCTCAGGGGACCTTATAGGATACCAGTGATTGAACTATGTGTACCGTGTTCATGGCAAATGCCCTACCTACTGTACTATCATTCAGGATCTTGCACTTCCTAATTTGAAATGATAATAATGAAATGGACAGTACAATAAAAGAAAAAAGAGCACTAAATTTCACTGCATAATCATTGATGTTATTGCACATTTTTTTGGTAAATAAGCTGACTATTATGTGCAGCTTTTAAAAAATTGTGCCGAGGGGCCAAATCGATAGTACAGTGAGTAAGGTGCTTACCTTGCTTTCTGCTAACCTGGTTTGATCCCCGGCATCCTATATGGTTCCCTGAGTCTTCCAGGAATGATTCCTGAGTGCAGAGTCAGGAGTAACCCCTGAGCACTGCTGGATGTGGCCCCCCCAAACAAAACAAAACAAAAAATTTGTGCTGCAGTTACTTATAACACAGGGTATGATTTTTAAATTTTATTTATTTAGTATTGAATCATGTGAGATTTTTTATGTTGAATCACCATGAGATAGAGCATTACAAAATTGTTCATGATTGTGTTTCAGTCATACAATGTTCCAACACCCATCCCTCCACCAGTGTAATTTCCCAGCACCAATGTTCCCAGTTTCCTTCCAAATCCCTTCAAGCCACTCCTCACCCCAGCCTGCCTCAACATCAGGCTCCTCTCTTCTCTCTCTCTCTCTCTCTCTCTCTCTCTCTCTCTCTCTCTCTCTCTCTCTCTCTCCTCTCGTTTTAGGCATTCTGGTTTGCAATACAGATGCTGAAAGGTTGTCATCTATATCCCTTTAGGGAATGATTATTTTGTGGTGGCAACAACTCTGCCATGAAATATAATCACTGTTACTGTTACTGTCCTCCCGTTGTTCATCGATTTTTCTCGAGTGGGCCCAGTAACGTCTCCATCGTGAGACTTTGTTGTTACTGTGTTTGGCATATCGAATACATCACGGGTAGCTTGCCAGACTTTGCCGTGCGGGCGACATACTCTCGATAGCTTGCCAGGCTCTCCAAGAGGGGCAGAGGAATCGAACTCAGGTCAGCCATGTTGGCTGCATGCAAGGCTAACACCCTACTCTCTGTGCTATCACTCCAGCCCGTGAAATATGATACAAATAAATGTATTTTCAAATGAGCTCCTGAAAGGATTTGAGTCTTCAAATATTTGATATTTTTACTTCTTCCTTTGTAGCATTTGCTTGCAAATTGATTACAACTCATATGCCTCGTATAGAATTGAATACAAATACACTTGAGGTAAGTGGTTTTTAAAAAGTTATATTTTATATTTAGTATTACAGTAAACCACTTACTATTTGATGGTTATCCAATTCCTTTTAATCTTCTTGACTGTCGAATTCCTACTCAAGTCTGTTGGAAAGTCTAGATTTCTTCCAACATTTACCCCCAAAATCAGGAAATTTTGCTGATTTTCTGTTCCACATCACTTACAATTTTTTCAAACCCCTGTTTAAGGCTAGAACTTAATACCGTCCTGGAATCATTCCAAATCCAAGACTCAGTTCCTTGATCTGAAAACTGAAAGCAAAAAAAAATACTTTTGATGTATTTGTTCTTATCAAAATTTGGGAGGTTGCATTTACATTACAAGAATGATAGAGATTTAGGAGCAAATTACTGAACATCCTTGCCCATTATTTTTCTATTAATTATTTTTTAATATTCTTTACTTTATTTAAGCATCCTGATTTACAAAGTTGTTCATAATACAGCTGTTTCAGGCATTCAATGTTCCAACACCAAAATCACCATCAGTGTGACCTTCCCTCCACCATTGTCCTCAGTTTGCCACCTATCTCTAAGCCTGCCCCCTAGGTAGGCACAAGATTGTTTAGTTTTATTGCTTATTACAACACGCATTAAAAAACTCATATTAATAATCCCCTTTGCCATGGAGGTTGTTGCTTAGATGTGTGGGATGGCACGTGCATGCTGGCTCTCTGAGGTTACACAGGCATGATGACTATGACATCAGTTTGTCTTAGAATTATTTAGATTCCATCCCTGCTCTCAGTAGGAGTGGTAGCACCTGAAAATTCTTTCTTCTCTTATTTTTTCTTTTTAATTTTTTCATAAAGTTGTTCACAATACTTGTTTACATTCAATATTTTAACAGCAGTCCCATCACATTGCACCTTCCCACCACCACCCCAACCTGCCCATAAGGCAGATGTTAAATATTTTAATGAACTTGTATGGCAGAGCCAGAAGTGGTTTGTGGGCATGACTCCCACATACCTAACTTTTGGCCACTTAATATCTCAGGAAACTTAGTCCCAAGTTGCTGGGATCTGGCAAGAGGCACTGTGGCAATTTGGGGATATTAGGAAGCCTGAAGGCACCATCAGGCTGCTGATGCACTCACGCTGTAGGTGCAGGTTGACCTGTTGGCGGCACCATACAACCGAAGTATTTTTTACTGTGTAGTTTTCTTAGATTAACTTTTAAATACTTTTCAGTGGTTTCATTTACTTATTCTCTGACATGTTTTTAATGTTTTAATTGAATCACAGTGAGATACACAGTTCATGATTTGGTTCCAATCATATAATGCTCCAACACCATTCCTTCACCAGTGTTCATTTCCCACCACCGATACCCTCAGTTTCCCTTCCACCCTATCCCCACAACTCCCCACCTGCCTCTCTCTTCTCTCTCTCTCTCTCTCTCTCTCTCTCTCTCTCTCTCTTGTTTTGGGTATTAGGGTTTGAGATACAAATACTGAAAGGTTATTGTGTCAATCTCTTTAACTACTTTTAACACTCAGTTCTTTTCCAGAATGATTATTTATAACTATTATTATCATACTGGTAACTACCTTTTGCACCCCCACTTCCCCCCTTCCTCCACCCCCCTACACACACTTGTGGCAAACTTCCAGTCATTGACCAATCCTCTTGACTCCTGCTTTTCTTGTCTTTGGATATATATTTTTAAAATATTCCATAAATGAGTACAGTCATTCTATAGCTGTCCCTCTCCTTCTAACTCATTTCACTCAGCGTGATACATTCCATGCCCATTCATTTATAAACAAATTTTCTCTGACACTTTTTTTTAATTTTATTTATTTATTGAATCACTGTGGGAAAGGTTACAAAGCTTTCAGGTTTAGGTCTCAGTCATGCAAATATCAAACACATTTCCCTTTACCAATACTTATTTTTTACCATGAAGAACCCCAATAAAACCCCACCCCCCACCCCTCCCCGTCCCTGTGAGGCAGATGAATTCTAGTTAACACTCTATCTGCTTTGATTAGATTCATTGTTTCAATAAAAGATTCACCACTATTATTTAGAGTTTACCCGCCCTCCCCCAAATCAGACATGCTGAAAAAGCATTGTGAAGTGATTTGCTTTCTACAGCTGGGTTCAAGAATTAAATGTTGGTTTTGGATTTCTGCTATTTTACTTATTGACCCTGGAAGTATTTCTACTGAAAGTCAGATAGTTAAGAAATTGGTTTCTGTGCTCTGGAGTCGTGGCCGTGCTGGAGAGCCGCTCGTGGGGGGCAACTGGTGGCCTCGGTAGGGCGTGAAGGGCGGACCGAAACACCTCCCTTCCCATGAGGTTTTAGTTGCCCCCACACCCCCGGCTCATACCTGCTGTCCACAAGGCTCCCATGCGGCCGCCATCCTTCTTTCCAGAGAAGAGAGGGCAAATGGGGCAACACCCTTTCCCCTCCGGGCAGACATGATGGCCTGGATTAACGTATAGTCCGTTCACTTTTCTGCTCCAAGCTGCTGGGTTCTGCATTAAGTCCTTGTGTTTCTGGGGCTGTGACCGTGCTCCAAACTTAACTCTGATTTTCAGGGAGAAACGTTGGGTGGTTTACTTCCCATTGATCACTTTGTATATAGAGAGATGTCGCGCGGCCGCATAAGGGGCCACGCGGTTTTGAGGAAAAGTCCTAGTTCCTGCATACTCGAGCTGTGCTTGTAGAGGCTTCTGGTCACTGGGGTTCCATCTGGGGGAGGCAGGATGCGGTACCTACCCCATCTGGGACTTCCCGATGATCTCAGCTCTTTTTGGAACCTGTTTTTTTTTTTCCTCCGGGAGCTGTGGATCATCCCGCCCTCCATGTGGCCCTTCTCTTCGGCTGTATGCTGTAAAGATGGCGCTGGGGGGCAGGCTGTGGGCATGACTTCTGGAATCAGAGGTTACCTGGGAGCTGTAGTCCCGGCAGATTTGAGGAAAAGTCCTAGTTCCCGCATACTCGAGCTGTGCTTGTAGAGGCTTCTGGTCACCGGGGTTCCATTTGGGGGAGGCGGGATGCAGTACCTACCCCATCTGGGACTTCCCGATGATCTTGGCTCTTTTTGGAACCTGTTTTTTCTTTTCCTTCGGGAGCTGTGGATCCCGCCCTCCATGTGGCTCTTCTCTTCGGCTGTATCTCTCTGACACTTTTTAACGTTCTCTGCCACTTGGGTTTCTCCATCATATGATTTTTCTTTAAAAATTCTTTTTCATTTTTGAAAAGTGAAAATTTTTTCTCTATGTATTTATGAGCATTATGAGGATAGATAAAATGGAGGAGGGTTCATTATGACAATGATTTGGCAATAATCACTCTGGACAAGAACTCAATGTTGAAAGTAAATAAAGGGATATACATGAGAGAGAAGAAAAGTGCCTGTCACAGAGGCAGGCAGGGGTGGGGGTCGGAGTGATGGGAGGGAACCTGGGGACACTGGTGCTGGGAAATGTACACTGGTAGAGGGATGGGTGTTGGAATACTGTATGACTGAAATCCAATAATGAACAGCTTTGTAAGGGTCTATCTCACAGTGATTCAATAAAAAAGTTTAGAAAGAAAAGAATATACATGATAAGCTTTAAGCATCTGTATCGCAAACCATAATGCCTATAATGAGAGAGAGAAAGAGAGAGAGAAGAAAGAGGCAGGCTGGGGTGGGGGTGTCTTGAAGGGTTGGGAGGGAAACTGGGGACACTGGTGCTGGAAAATTACTCTGGTGGAGGGATGAGTGATTTGAAAGAAAGAAAGAAAGAAAGAAAGGAAGGAAGGAAGGAAGGAAGGAAGGAAGGAAGGAGGGAAGGAGGGAGGGAGGGAGGGGAGGGAGGAAAGGAAGGAAAGAAAGAAAGAAAGAAAGACAGGAAGGAAGGAAGGAAGGAAGGAAGGAAGGAAGGAAGGAAGGAAGGAAGAAAGGAAGGAAGGAAGGAAGGAAGGAAGGAAGGAAGGAAGAAAGAAAGAAAGGAAGGAAGGAAGAAAGAAAGACAATTTCCGGTGAGATTCAACCCTTTTACTCTGACAATGGAACTGGTATGGGAAAGGGGGCATATAGATGAAACAGGGGAAAGAGAGGGACCTAGTGAGGGTGGTAGGGTCATGTTGGCACTTTGGTGGGTGTGGTGTAATAATATTGTACTGCCTAACACATAGCACTAACAGTATTGTAAATCATATCATCTAAAAAAAAAAACTATGGGTGAACCGTGGGGGTATGGTGCTGCCAGCAGGTCAATCTGTACCTGTGAGGCGAGTGCATCAGCAGCCTGATGGCGCCTTCAGACTTCCAGATACCCCAAAATTGCTGCCGTGCCTTTGGCCAGACCCCCAAAACTTGGGGCAAAGTTTACCAAGAAAGTAAACGACCAAAAGTTAGGTATGTGGGAGACACACCAATAAACCACCTCCGGCTCAGCTATATAATTGGAGGCATGGCCTCTCTGGTTCCTGATTGAACTGCTTAATGGCCATGATCCCAGAGACTCAAACAAATCTCGAAACCCAATGGCTTTTGACAGAAATGTGTCTGGTCCCTGCAGTAGGTTACCGGTGCTGGGCCAATCCAGGTGGGAATAGGTTTCGTGCCTTGGCCTATTCCCCCTGGTGGCCCAGTGTCCGCCATCCTCCAGAGGCCACTGGACAGTCAGGTGTGGATCTGTAGTGACGAGACACGCAGGGCCTCATGGTATGGGGGTGGAGCCGGTCCTTTCCTCCCCGACCCAACGAGACCCCAAGTCATTGCCCACAAACGGTCTCTCTGGCTCCTGATCAAGTTGCTTAACAGTCATGATTCTAGAGACTCAGAAACAAATCTCGAAACCCAGTGGCTTTTGGCAGAAATGCGTCCGGACCCCGAAGTAGGTTTCTGTCACCGGGCCACCCAAGGGGGAAAAAGGGTGCTGTCCCTCTACCTGCTCCCCCTTTGGTGGCTCAGAGGTCACCATCCTCCAGAGGCCATTGGACAGTCAGGTTTGGGCCCGCAGTAACGAGACATGTTGGGCCTCATGGGATGGGGGTGGAGCCAGTCCTTTCCTCCCTGTCCCAACGAGACTCCAAGTCATCGCCCACAAACGGCCTCCCTGGCTCCTGATCAAGTTGCTTAATGGCCATGATCCAAGAGACTCACGAGAAAATCTCGGAACCCAGCAGGTTTTAGGCAGAAATCCCTCCAGATTTAAGTGTTAAAATTTCAGAATTTCAAAATTGCGCGGCCACCACTGCAGCCACGCGACATCATATGTTATTCATAACCAGCAATAAAACACAAATTGTCTACTGTTGCCTTTTCAGCAGATCTGAGTGTTGGGGTAAAATCTCAAATAATAATGGTGGGTCTGGTGTCAAGATATTGAATGTGATCAAAGTAGAGAGAGAGTAATGTGGAAATCATCTGCCCCACAGGTAGGGGGAGGGTGTGGGATGGGGATTTACTGGGGTTGTTGGGACTGGTGAAGGTACGGGTGTTTCATTTTACGACCGAGAGTTAGACCCGAAAGCTTTGGAAAAATTATAGAAAATGAAAAAAAAGTAAGGTGAAGTCATGCCCAATTCAATCAGCTAATCAGTGGCGGAATAAATAGCAGTACTCCTACATAAAAAAAAAAAAAACTAAAAAACTTCCTGACAGCTGTTGCTTGGGTATTTGAATGTTCCTAGCAATTGTAAAACTGAAAATGGTGTATTTAATTAGAAGAGCATCAGATTTTGGATTTAGTAAGCAAATAAAATATGGAGAAATATTTAATTCAAGAAGTTCAGTTTTGTCAGATAATGTTTGAGGGAGCATGTCAATTATAAGTCATTTGAGAGTATCGATGAGATATTTAGTTTAGTCAGCTGTGCAGATAAAGTAAAAGTGGAAGTGTTTAATAAGGTACACATATTACATTGCATACGTTAGTCATTTCATGGTTACAAATGTAAAATTTTTGAATTATTATTAGAATTTTAGGCCTTAGCAATTTGTGGATTATCAAATTAATGTTTTCTCTCAGGAGACACATTTATTGCATTTTAGGGAGCCATGAAAACCTTTTGAGAGAAATCGAGATAGAAATTACTTTCTTAAAAGTCTTAATGCTTGACATGCTTAAATTTTTTCTGAAGGTTGGGTTGATAATTCAAGTGATAGAGTACATGCCCGGAGTATGCAAGGCTCTGGCCCTGAGTATGACCCTTGCATCACATGCTGGCCTCCCCTGGCACCCCTTGTTGTAGTTCCAGTCACCTTGAGCACCATTAGATATAGTTCTGGTGGCCCCTAAGTACTACTGGGCATGAGCACCAAATCCCTGTGTTTACACATTTTTCTTTTTTTAGAAATCAGATCCTTTGTAAGAGTTTATTCCATTATTTTTGTTTACATTCTTTTTTTGTTTGTTTTTGCTTTGGGTTACATCCAGAAGTGCTCAGGACTTACTCCTGGCTCTGTGCTCAGGGCTTACTCCAGGCTCTGTACCCAGGGCTTACTTCTGGTACTGTGTTCAGGCATCACTGCTGGCCATCTTGGGAGACCATATGGGTGTTGAGGATCGAACTTAAGACACAAGACAAATGCTTTATCCACTGTACTAACTCCCCACACCCCCTTTAGATTTTTATTTCTCTATGACTTGTGAAGAGAACAATGAGAAACTCATCTTCCTTCATCTACCAATTTGACTCAGAATGTCTCTCATTTCTATTTAAAATGAGGAAAGGAAGAGAGGTGGAGAGCCAGCACAGGACTTAAGGTTTGATCCCCAGCACCAGACAGTCCCCCAAGCACTGTCAGGAGTGATCCCTGAGAAATGAGCCAAGAGTAAGCACTGAGAACCCTCAGGTGTTGCCATCTAACCAAAAAAATTATAATAAAGTGAAAAAGACAAAGTGATTCTCTCTCTCTCTCTCTCTCTCTCTCTCTCTCTCTCTCTCTCTCTCTGTTTTAGGCAACACAAAAAGAAATTAACCAAAACTGTGAAGATCTTGGGAAATATTTGGGTAAAGAAAATGATCTGGTCCTCATCATTGATGGTGCAACGTTGAAGCATGCCCTTCATCTAAAAGTTATGAAAAACTTCCTCAAGTTGGCTATGTCATGTAGAACAGTGTTGTGCTGTAGGTAAGACTACATCCACTAGTCTTCTCTCTTTTTACATAATACTTTTATGTAGAGAAAATACAGACTTGGCAATGTAAAGATTTGCAGGAACAAAGTAACTTAATGGGATAAGGAACACTTCAGTTGAAATGAAGGATCTAAATTTAATTCTAATCATTTAAGATTAAGAATTATTAGAAAGCAGTTTGTAATTTTTTAAAAAGATTTTTGAAACTTTATTTAAGTTTCATTATTTAAAAAGTTGTCCATAACATAATTGTTCAGATATTTAATATTTCAAAATCTAACCCACCTTCCCTTCACCAACCTCCCTAGCTGCTCTCTCATCCCATCTTCAAGCCTTCCCTTTTAGCAGGCACAAAATAATTTATATCACTTGTTAGAACATATATCTCATGAAGGTGTTACTAGAATCACTGTTAGTTGCTAGTTGAGCTGTGTTGTTATTATTATTATTATTATTTGCTTTTTTGCTTCACAGCTGGAAAATGCACAGGGGTTACTCCTGGCTCTGCACTCGGGAATTACTCCTGATGGTGCTCGGGAAATCATATGGGATGCTGGGAATTGAATCCGGGTGAACCGCGTGCAAGGCAAATGCCCTACCTGCTGTGCTATCGCTCCAGCCCTGCTGTGTTATTATTTTTTCTCACTGAACTTAGTAGGCTTCTACATAACTTTCCCCATCTGATTTTCTGCGCTCCTACTGGCCTGTAGTAGTGTGAGATTTGGAGATGTTGTGTAGCCACATAAGAAGTGGAGCTGGGGTGGTTTAGAAGCATAGCTTCTCAATCAGGCCGTTTATATGCCTGTGGGAGATGACTATTGGTGACGTGCTGGGCCTTTTGGTAGAGTGGAGAGGCTCTACAGTTGTGGGCTTGGATACCAGGAATACCTGGGCCAACTCAGCTACTGCATCTGTCCACAGTTTGTAATTTTTAGTGAGAAGTTGTTTATTGATAAAAGAGGTCATCAGTACAAATTAGCTTCACAGCTTAGAGTTAGAGACAAATCTGAAGAAAAATTCTACTATTCCCCACAGGAATACAAATTACTATGTTTGCACCATTCTTCTCTTTTTTCTTTTTGGACCTGAAGCAATAGCACAGTAGGTAGGGTGTTTGCCTTGCACGCGGCAGACCTGGACAACCCAGGTTCTTTTTTTCCACCCCTCTCGGAGAGCCTGGCAAGCTACCAAGAGTATCTCGCCCGCACAGCAGAGCCTGGCAAGCTTCCCATGGTGTATTTGATATGCCTATAAACAGTAACAACAAGTCTCACAATGGAGATGTTACTGGACCCGCTCGAGCAAATCGATGAATAACAGAAGACAGTGACAGTCATAGGGTCACACCTGGCGATGCACAGGGGTTACTCCTGGCTCTGCATTCAGGGATTACTACTGGCAGTGCTGGGGGGGACCATATGGGATGCTGGGGATCGCACCCAGTTTGAATGCGTGCAAGGCAAACGCCTTACCAGCCCCTAGTCCATTATTCTTGCTTACCTTCTTTATTGTTTTTTGCTTTGGGGACACACCCAAAGTTGCTCAGAGCTTACTCCAGACTCTGTGCTCAAGGTGACTGGATTTACAACTAGTGCAGCCAGAAGAAGGCCAGCATGTGATGCAGGGGACATACTCAGGGCCAGGTTAATTTAATACTAAATTAAAAGTATTATGCAGATTAAACATTGGTTTAAAAACACAGATCATCTGTATCATAGCTTCTTAAACTGTGGGTCTTGATTCCATAACGGGTCAGATGACTTAAATTTTTGAGGTTTTTTTTTTTTGTCCACACCCAACAGTACTCAGGGTTTACTCCAGGTTCTGTGCTCAGAGATCACTCCTGGTGGGCTCAGGGAACTGTATGTGGTGCCAGATGGAAGCTGGGTTGGCTGTCTGCAAGCAAGTCTTCTATCTGCTGTACTGTTGCTTTGGTCCAATATGTTAAAAATTTTTTAAAAAATTATGAGTTACTATCAGTTAATGTTTGATTAGTATATCTAATTTTTATAGCTGGGTTGCCTAAACATTTCTCAGGCAAATGAGTTAATTTCTCTGGTCATGAGTGAAGAAGAATAATTTAAAAAGCCCTGAACTCCAGCCACGATGATTGATATTGAGAAAATAATGAAAATATGCAGAACAGTTGTTTCTTCATCCTCAGTAAGAGTATCACATAAACCAATTATTAAAATACTTTGAGACCTGAAATTATAAATGAAATTATGAATATTTTCATCCATCATTGAGGTTCATTGAATACTCCAAACATTTCCTTTAAAAGTACTGTGATTACACTCATTCATTGTTTATTTATTTTTATTTTTTATTTTTTTGCTTTTTGGGTCACAACTGGTGATGCTCAGAGGTTATTCCTGGCTCTGCACTCAGGAATTACTCCTGGCAGTGCTTGGGGGACCATATGGGATGCTGGGAATCGAACCCGGCTCGGCCACGTGCAAGGCAAACGCCCTACCCGCTGTACTATTGCTCCACCCCCCCCCTTTTTTTTAATAATAAGCATCAATTCTTCATTCTACTCTTGCCTGTTACCTTTTTAGTTTAGTCTTTAGGATTTTTGTGACTTCAACTTTAATCAGTTAGGACTAAAGGGAAATGATAGAAAAGTTGTTTTTGTATTTTTTCAAGTTTGTTTGAGCACGGTTTGATTTTCAAGAGCAACTCTATAGTTCATATTCTGGGTTAGTGACTCCTTATAGTTTGTTTCAGAAAATAGTATACCTTTACTTCTTCCTCTCATGTAGATGAGTCCTATAATAAACCAATGTTGGAAAACCATAAATGATGGGGAAAGTGGAAAACAAAAGAGTTTATTTTTATGGAAACTGGACAACTGATGGTTCATCTCTTTGGGGATGTTGAGAAGATACTGTGTCAATTTATTTATGTCTTTCTCTAATTTTTTTTAATTGATTCACCATGAGGTACAGTAACAAAGTTTTCATGTTTGAGCTTCAATCATACAGTCATCAAACATCCGTCCCTTCACCAGTGCACGTTTTCCACCATCAAAACTCTCTAATTTTTTTATGTGGATGAGTTAAAACATTATATGTGAAAATTACATGTGAATGAGCAGTTTAATTAACAATAGGGAAACTTAGTAGCAACTGCCATTGAAATGTGGTTAGGTATATTTTATTATTGATTTATTTTAGCATGAAGTAAAATGGACTAAATCAAAACACAAAAATGATCCTCTTTGTCTTTGCTTTCAGGTTTTCTCCCCTGCAGAAGGCTGAAATAGTGACCTTGATTAAGAAACATGTAAGGGCTATCACTCTTGCCATTGGAGATGGTGCCAATGATGTTGGCATGATTAAGACAGCCCATGTGGGTGTGGGAATCAGTGGGAATGAGGGCATGCAGGCGACCAACAGCTCAGATTTTGCCATCGCACAGGTCAGTGGCATGACTGATTAACCAGACAGAGATTTTCAGAGACCTTTGTTGTCCAACAGTAAATGCTACCTAATTTCAGCGAGCTGCTTTCCATATGAAAGTACCAGTAAAATTGGGGCTCTCTTTTGTTTTGTCCTTATGGATTTTTTGTAGTGTCAAAGGTTGGCCAAACTAATGTCACAAAAAAACCTGTAGTCCTGCTGATATAATCTCTTAATCCCAGCCTCTTCAATCTGTAATTGTGTTTCTTAAGGAAGGCCCATGACTTTATTTCTTTTTGTTTTTTTACTGTTTATATTAGGGTACTATATAAAAATACTTTTAATACTAGTTTCAAATATACATTATTCCAATACCACACTTACCACCAGAGTGCCCACTCCTCACCACCAAAGTCCTAGGGATACCATCCCCCCATTCCCCCACCCCCAACTTAGGTAAATTTTGTGGAGAAGCTCTTTAGTTCTGTTGCCTTTGGCCATTTGTTGTCCCTTTCTATGTTTCTTTATATCCCATATATGAGAGAGCATTCTGTAACTAACCCTCTCCTTCTGCCTGACAACTCCTTCTGAGATTCACCACACAACAGCAAATTGCATGCCTTCACTTTTTTTTATACTCAACTAGTATGCATATATATACTACACATGTTTATATGTATGTGCATATATATATATACATACAGTGATATACATATGAATGCACACATATATGTATACAATGGGAAATTATATATATATATAAAACACACATATATATGTTTCTTTATCTTACCTGTTTTCAGAATTTAGTTACTGTGTTAGTGCCACAGTCAACATAAGGACAAAAATGTCTTTTTGAAATAATATTTTGTTGCCTTTGGAGTAGATGCTGAAATGTGGTTTTAATCTATTATAAGCACTATTTTTTTTAAATCCTCATTTTATTTATTTATTTATTTTGCTTTTTTTTGGTTCACAGCCGGCAATACACAAGGATTACTCCTGGCTCTGCACTCAGGAATTACACCTGGCGGTGCTCAGCAGACCATATGGGATGCTGGAATCGAACCCGGGTTGGCTGTGTGCCAGGCAAAAGTCCTATCTGCTGTGCTATCACTCCAGCCCCTATAAGAACTATTCTTATTTTCAGTTTTCTTAAGAAGTGTCCATATTGATTTTCAAAGAGGCTAGATAAGTCAGTATTTGCATTAGCTATGGATTAGGGTTCCTTTCTCCTCACATCCACACCAGTACTGATTATTATTTTTTTTATGTGTAGAATCTTCCTGTTTGAGGAAATGTCTGTTCATCTCTTCTTTCTATTTTGGTTTTAAAAGATTTTGTTGTTAAGTTTTGCATGTGCTTTATATGTCTTGGATATTAACCAATGAGTGAATGGTAGGCAAATATTTTTTGCCAATCTATGGGGTATCATTTAATTCTAGTTATCATTGCCTTTGTACTGTGTAAGTTTCTTAAACTTATGTAGTCCTATATGTTTATTTTTTCTTGGCTAATGGTATTGATTCACTGAAGATGCTGCTAGATTAGATTGTAAGTCATGAAGAGTTCTGCCTATGTTTTGAAATATTTGATAGATTGAGATATTATATCAAGGTCCTTAATCCATTTTGAATTGACTTCTGTGCAGAGTGTAAAATAGGGAACTGAATTCATTTTTAACATTTTTTCCAACCATTTATTGAAGAGACTTTTTGAGTTCTGTTTCACCTCACCCTCCTTGTTCTTTTGAAGATTTGCTGACCATTTCTTAAGGGTATATCTCTGACTCTGAGTTCTTTTTCATTGGTCTAAGAGTCTGCCTTAATTCCAGTACCATACTGTTCTGACTACTGTACCCCTCATCATAGCAGTCTTAGTGGGGAACAGGTAAGCTCAATAACTAAAGAGAATAGTCTAGCAGACTCTACCAGCTTCAACAGCTATATCGCCTCTCAGACCAAGATTTTAGAAATATTACAATGGAGATTTTTACACTGTCCTGTCACTGTCCTCCCATTGTTCATCGATTAGCTCAAGTGGGCCCAGTAACATCTCCATTGTGAGACTTCTTGTTACTGTGTTTGGCATGTTAAATACTCTCGGTAGCTTGCCAGGATCTCCGAGAGGGGCGGAGGAATCGAACTTGGCTCGGCCAGGCTGGCTGCGTGCAAGGCAAACGCCTTACCACTGTGCTATCACTCCAGGGGCTAGAGCGATAGCACAGCGGTAGGGTGTTTGCCTTGCACACAGCCAACATGGAGATTTTTAAATAATCTCAAAGAAATAATGGCACAGGCAATCATTAAAGCACAAGAATGTATGAAAGAGAAAATGAGAAAACTGCAACCAGAAATGATAGCATCAAGGACCCTGATCAGCAAAATTAAAAATTCAATGAAAGCCCTCTGAATTTGAGTTATGATTGATGAGAATTTAATAAATAACCTTAATGATATAATGCAGGGAATCACCAGAAAACAACAGAATATGGAAAACGGTTGGAGAAAAATGAACATTATACCAAATAATTAGAGGACAAGTTCAAGAAGAAAAATAGGAATTCCCAAGGAAGAAGAGGGAGCTAAAAAATCATAACTAAGCAATCAAGTTTAAGAAGCTTGATGTTCATAGTCAAAATAAACATGAACAGAAAAACCCAAGACAAATCATGATCAAAATGATGAAAAAAAAAAAACAAAGACAGGGATAGAATACAGAAGGTAGTGAGATCAAGGAAGAAACTTACATATGAAGGAACTCCCACAAGATTCTTATTAGATCTACCAAATGAGACTCTATAGTCCAGAGGAGAATGATGGGATATTATAAAATATCAAAAATAAAAGACTCAGTGTAATGAGCACCTCACCAAGAGTACACCATAACCTTCTAGTGAGGTTTAGAAAAGTATCATAGACAAGCAACAGCCAAGGAAGTTCATAGACTTGAAACCAGTGTTGTAATAAGCATTAAAAGAGCTTCTTTGAAACACAAGACAAACTTCACAAATGCAATTTCTTCAAAGCAATAGTAATGTATTCTTTCACCTTAATTGTCTCAGTGAATATCAATGACCTTAACTCACAAATCAAGAGGCACAGAATGACAATATGGATCAGAAAACTGAACCCAACTTCCTGAAACTTGTAAGACACACACCTGAGGGGTCAGAATGGTAGTACAGCAGCAGGTAGGGCATTATCCTTACACATGGCTAACCCTGGGTCAATACCCAGCATGCCATATGATCTCCCAAGCCCACCAGTAATGATCTCTGAGCATAGAATCAGGAGAAAACCCTGAGCACTGTGGAACATGACCCAAAATCAAACAAACAAACTAAACGACATACCTAAACAGTTACAGTAAACACAGGTTCAAGGTCAAATGCTGGAAAACGACTTAAAAGCTAACAGTATTCTAATAAAGGCTGGGGTAGTCATATTTTATATTATGCAACAAAATTCAGGTCTTAAAAGATTATAGGTGATAGAGATATTCATTGCTTAATGATCAAAGATTCTATACATCAGGAAGAATTTATACTTCTAAATAAACACAAGCCAAATGATGAACCATCGTGAGAGTTGAAGCAGGAGATGGAGAGATAATGAAGTGGGTAGAGCACTTGCCTCCCACCCAGCTGGTACGGATTTGATCCTTGTCACCCATATAGTTCCCTGAGCCTGCCAGGAGTTATTCCTGAGCACAGAGCCAGGAGTAACCTCTGAGCATTGCTGAATGTTCACCCCCTGCCCCCTAAAAAAGAGTTGAAGCAAATATTTAAAGACATAAAAAAGCTTTCTTTTGTTCTTTCTTTTTAAGAAAAGAAACATTGCTTTTTAGGAGTATTCCATTTTCACAGCAGACGAAAATTACGGAGAGTTCTCTTATATTCCCTACCCCTTCCGGTCTGCCCTCTATCAATATTCTTTACAGAGTAGTGCATTTATTATAATTGAATAGTACTATTATTACTCAAAGTTCATAGTTTATAATAAAATTCACTCTAGCACAGCAGTAGGACTTTCGCCTTACAAGCGGCCAACATGGCCGACCCGAGTTCAATTCCTCTGCCCCTCTCGGAGAGCCCGGCAAGCTACCGAGAGTATTCCATATGCCAAACACAGTAACAACAAAGTCTCCAATGGAGACGTTACTGGGCCCGCTCGAGCAAATTGACGATCAACGGGAGGGCCTTTACCTAACTTACCTATTGTACATTTTAGGGGCTTGAGCAAATGTATCTGGCATTAATCTACCATTACGTTGTTTTAAAGTATAGTTTCACTGCCCTGAAAATATTATGCTCCACTTTCATACCTCCCTCATCGAAACTAGTAATCACTGATATTTTTTACCATGTCCATAGCTTTCCTTTTCCAAAATGTCATATAGCATAAATTATACTATATCTCTTTATACTATATCTTTAATTATACTATATAATTTTCTTTTTTGTTTTTGAGCTCAAGAAGTCCATTTTTGTTCTATGTTTTCCATTTGTTTTATTTATGTGCCACGGTCACGGTCACGGTCCTCCCATTGTTCATCGATTTGCTTGAGGGGGCCCAGTAACGTCTCCATTGTGAGACTTTGTTGTTACTGTGTTTGGCATATCGAATATGTCATGGGGAGCTTGCCACGCTCTGCAGTGCGGGCGAGATACTCTCAGTAGCTTGCCAGGCTCTGCGAGAGGGACAGAGGAATCGAACTCGGGTCGGCCATGTTGGCTGTGTGCAAGGCAAACACCCTGCCGCTGTGCTATCACTCCAGCCATTTGTGGGAAATCATATGTTGTTTATCTTTTTTAGTATGTTAATTCAGTAAGCTATCATAGACCTATAGGTCCAACCATGTTGACTGCCAATAGTAGGATCAATCTTCTATTTTTTGAATAGCTAAGTAGTATTCTCTGTTCATATATGCCGCATCTGCTCATATGTTGACCAGCACTTGGGTTGTTTCTTGCTCTTACGTACTAAATATAATGCTTCTAGGACTGGAGCAATAGCACAGCGGGTAGGACGTTTGCCTTGTATGCGGCCGACCTGGGTTCAATTCCCAGCATCCCATATGGTCCCCCAGCACCTCCGGGTGTAATTCCTGAGTGCAAAGCCAAGAGTGACCCCTGTGCATCCCTGGGTGTGACCCAAAATGCAAATAAATAAATAAATATAATGCTGAAGCAATATGAGATGTATATATCTTATGCAATATGAGATGTATATATCTTCAATATGAAATGTATATATGCAATATGAGATATATGCAATATGAGATATATGCAATATGAGATGTATATATCTTCAAATTAGAATTTTTGTGTTTCTTGGTTTAAAAGCCAGAAATGGGGTAACATGAAACTTTTGCTTTTGTTGTTATTGTTGTTTGTTTGTTTTTTGAGCCACTTCAGTGGTGTTCATGGCTTCCTCCTGGCTCTACACTCAGGGATCACTCTTGGAGGGGCTTGAGGGACATATGGGATGCTGGTGATTGAATCCAGGTTTGCCACATCCAAGTCAAGTGCCCCAACTGCCATACTATTCTCAGATTCTCTGTTTAAAAATTATGAAGAAAACTTCACATTGTTTTCCACATGTTACTATTACACTCATAGTGAACAAGGCCTTATTTTTCCACATCCAAATAAAGCACATATTTATTCTCACATAATGATTCATTTTGATCTGCCTTTTCCTAATAATAAGAGCTGATATTTTTCTTTTTTTAATTGCCATTGGCATTCTATGCTTCCCTGGAGAAGTGTTTATTCAGATCTTATGTTCATTTTTGGTTATTATTTTATTATTTTGGGGGGGACGCATCCAGCTGTAATCAGAGCTTCTGGCTCTGTGCTCAGAGATTACTCTTGGTGTGGCTAAGGGGAAAATAGGATTATAGTCTTAGAGATTACAAATGGTTTTAATCTTCCACTGTTCAGCAAGAAGAAATGACAGAAATCAAATGTCCTGGGGTCCAAGGGAACGTTTATTTCTAATTTTTTCAATTATTTGAGTTGTGTCCTTCAAAGGTGGAGAGAAACAGAGAGAGGGAAGCAGAATTTTGTGAGTCTGTGTGGTGCTCCATACCAGACTTTGTCCTCCTATGCAGAATTTAACAGTCACCAATGGCTTCATATCTAAATCCATCCTGTCTATGGATGAAGTTCTCTTACAGTAGCTGCATTTATGATTTTGTAGATAGTATAGCCTAGGTAGAATAAGGTTTCTGGCTTTTTTCCTTCCGTCCTTACCCCTAAGTTTCCATGTGAAGACAATAACTATTGAAAGAGTTATATGATTCCTACTTTAATTCCTATTTGAATCTTGCTTTGGGTCTTACTAAAATGTTGTTTTAGGTTATTGATAATATTTTATAAGTGTGATGCAAGAGGGGTTGATCTTGGGTCTGTGTTCAATGGTGTTCAGGGCCATACATGGTGCTAGGGATCCAGTTGGGCTGGGTTGTCTACAAAGAAACTTCTTAACCCCTATTCTATCTCTCAGGCCAGACACCAGTGATTGAACTCTTAAATAGCATTTTTAGCTCGTCTTTTATTTGGAGCAGCTTTGTTGCAGCTTCTGTTTATGTATCTTGCTTTATTTTGTGCTGTTCTCAGAATAAGTCTTATCTACCATGTTGTAGTGGACAGTTTTTCATCTCCATCTACCTCTCACCCATATCTAGGGCACAGTGATGGGCCAGACAGCTGGCTTTTGTGTGGTCTTTTATTTTGGTATCCTCTTGGTGATGCACACAGTTTTCTTTTACATGGTATATCAGTATAAACTTTGTGCATAACACTTTCTTTTATTTTCTATAGTAAATCCTTTGCTTCCTATTTCCTGATTTCTCTTTCTCCCCCCTCCCTCTTTCTATTTTTCTCTCTCCCCCTCTCTTCTTCTTTCCCTCCCTCCTCCCTCCCTCCTCCCTCCCTCCTCCTCCTCCCTCCTCTTCCTCCTCCTCCTCCCTTCCTCCCTCCCTCCCTCCCTCCCTCCCTCCCTTCCTTTCTTCCTTCCCTCCTTCCCTCCCTTCTTCCTTCCTTGCCCGGGCCACGCTCAGTGCTGGCCAGGGCTTACTCCTGGCTCTGTTCTCAGGGATCACTCCTGGAAGGTCCAGGGGACCATATATTGAACTATATGGAGCTCTGGGGATCAAACCCAGGTGCTCCCATGCAAGACAAGCACCCTACCCACTATATTATCTCTCCAGTCCCCAAATTATTGATATTTTAAATAATCCCAATAAACCAAACTTTGAATTAGAATTTCTTTCTGTTTTTCTCTCCTGCAGATAAATACTTGTGAAACTAAAAGCTAAGCAATAGGAATATGCTCTTTAATGAATCAAGTTTAATGTCAAGTTTTAGGTAAAAACTAAAAAACATATAAACTGCCTTACCTCACTTATCTTTGGCTTAGATATACATTTTATGATTCAGCCACTTCCTCTCCATCCTGTCTCATCATGCTTCAAATTATTAAATAGTATTTATTAAATATTAAATAATATTTATCATCAATTTGTTCGAGCGGGCACCAGTAATGTTTCCATTGTGAGACTTGTTGTTACTGCTTTTTGGCATATTGAATATGCCACGGAGAGCTTGCCAGGCTCTGCCATGCAGGCGGGATACTCTTGGTACCTTGCCGGGCTTTCCGAGAGTGATGGAGGAATCGAACCCCGGTTGGCCACGTGCAAGGTGAACGCCCTACCTGCTGTACTATTGCTCCAGCCCTGGTTAAATAGTATTTATTGGTAGAATTATTTTTTCTTTTGTGTGTATCAAGTTCTGCCATTTGAAATCAGTATTTAGTTTTAGGAGTCACTAAATTATTTTATTGCCTGATTTAGTGGAATTCCTTTCCAAATAGTCACAACTCAGAAATATTCGTTGATTGCTTAACATATCCTAGGCATATTTCTTTATGTCTGGGAATGATCGGTGAACAAAGTAGTCAATGGCATCTTCATTCAAGGAGACATACATGAATAGTAATTATAATAATAGTAATTATAATAAATAATAAAACCTACCTTTTGTTAGAAGGTGATCAAGCACTGTGCAAAAGAAAATAGAAGATGATAATGAGACTTAAAAATGCTTTTTAAGGTTACATATTCCTTCTCTTATTTTGATGTTTTCATTTGCTCATAGAAAATAGGAAACTGACTCATATAAGATTTTGTTGCTTATACTTTGTCAATAGGAAAATCACTGATGTAAATTAGGTTCTTATTTTCAATATGCTGTTTCTTTAATGAATAACTCTTGACTCCTTCTCGTGAGTAAGGGTCTACGTTTGTATTACATTAGATTCAGAACCTTCTACACGAGAAGTGAAAGCGCAGACAGCATTTTCTGAATAAACAGAAGCTATGCTTAATTTTTCTTTTTAATAGTAAGAGAAGTTAGTTTTGTGAAGCTCTAAGAAATGCTTCTGTAGTAAAAAGCCATGTCAATTTGCCTGAGAAATAGATTTCATTCCATTTACCTTTTGTGCTGTCGTTGCGACAGAGGGTTAAATACTTGGAAAATGACATTCTGTGTGTTTGTTACTGATGATAATAGGTTTGTTTTAACTTGTTTTGACTATTGTTTCTTTTAGTTTAGGTATTTGGAGAAGCTTTTGATGGTTCATGGAGTTTGGAACTATTTCCGTGTGACCAAATGCATACTATATAGTTTCTACAAGAACATTGTGTTATATATTATTGGGGTAAGGAAGAAGATAAACTCTTTCATTAATAAGTTAAGTCTTTTCCTTGACATCACGATTTGTATAGTTTCTTCATTGTCTCACTTAAAACATCATCCCTAATCCTACCTTAAGGTTTTGCTTACATATAGTGATTCTGTGAGAAGAAGTTCATGTCAATGAAACTATGTTATAATACACGGTGATTTATTGACATAACTACAAAAAATATCCTATTGGGAAATGGAATAAATTTCTACCCATTCTAGATGCTTCCAGTGGTGAGAGAAATCAGAATTACTTGAACTTATTTATCTGCTCTGCGACTTGGAGATATCCTAAAAAAATTTTGGCATGAAGCTATTCTTGCCTTCCAAACACTTCCAGGAATAGGAGAAGGTCTTATTTATAAAGATGCCCTCTCTTTACTTTTCTGTGGTTTTGGTTTATTTTGTGGGGCTGCACTCGGTGATGCTTAGAGGTTGCTTCTGACTCTGCACTCAGGAATCACTTCTGGTGGTGTTAGGGACCACATGGAATGCCAGGAATCAAACCTGGGTCAGCATGTTCAAGGCAAATGCTGTACCTGCTGTACTATCATTCCAGCCCCTCCTTTTGTATTTATGATCTTCTTATTATTAGCAGCTAAAATTGTAGAGAGAAAGTTTTTGATTTATCTCCACACAATAAATTCATATAGAAACATAATACTTATAAGCCATACATCATATGTGAAACATATATATGCCTTATATCATTTGTTTCTCTCCTGGGGCTTCTGGGCTGTGGCTTCCAGCTGTTACCACTACTGCTACTCATATCTGGTTCTAATTCTCATTTTGAACATGATAGAGTTCTATTCACCAAGATCACCTTTACACTGAAAATGAACCAAAAAAAGATGTCTCTAATTGCACTTTTCACAAAATACATGTTTAGCATGCATTTGTTGCTTCAGAAAAGACATGTTACCTTATTTATTTGTTTGTTTGTTTTTTTTGGGTCACATCTAGCAATGCTCAAGGGTTACTCTCTGCTCTCAGGAATTACTCCTGACAGTGTTTGGGGGACCATATGGGATGCCAGGGATCAAACCCATGTCAGCTGCATACAAGGCAAGTGCACTATCCACTGTACACTCTCTCTAGCTCCAAAGAATGTTTCTTTAGTTTGGGTTTTGAGAAGCCAGAAAGATAGTATAGGGGTTAAGTCACTTGCTTTGCACCTGGTTTGATCTTTAGCACTGCATATAGTTCCCTAAGCCCCTATAGATGTGATCTTTGAGCACAGAGCCAATAGTAAGCTCTGAATGCTGCCAAGTGTAGCCCAAAAAAGCAAAAAAAATTATCTATCTGCATAGGCCTCCAATTTGACTGTGGAAATATATTTTTAAATAATACAAATTCACAGGAAGTTGAAAAAATTATTTATAGAAGTCCCATAACCTTTTACTCAATTTCCCCTAAAGATAATACCTTATATAATGATAGGGAAATATCAACTGCTAATTGATACTGGCACAACCTACAGAGTTTATTTAAATTTCCACAGCTCTTGGAGAGTGGGGGTGGAGGGGCTCTATGCACTATATATGTGTGTGGACTCAAATAACCTTCAGAGCACTCATGAAACAGATCTTTTCCAAAAACAAAAAATCCTAATCTGTTCTATGCCACAAGACTTTCCTTCATGCTACTACCCCTTGATGTTCACACATTCTTAATCCTTGCAGTGACTAATCTGGTGTCTATTGTTATCATTTTGTTCACTTATTTAGGATGAATACAATTTTGGGACCCGATGAAAAATATACATTTAATTTTGAAAGAAACTTTGAAACTATTTTCCAGAGTGACCTTTCCACTTTTAATTTCATCAGCAAATTTATTATATTGTTCCTCTTGTACTTATCCCATATCTCTATTATGTACTGTTCATTCATTTTTAAGACATTTTCCCATCCTCTGTTGTTTTCTAGAAGTTTCCTCCATTTAAATTTTCCTCCATCTCAAAAGATTGAGCTTCACCTAAGGGACTGCTCTGACATAGAATTCAGATGGAAAGTCATGAAGATGTTCAATCAACTCAATGAAACAGTCAGACAGACAGCCAGTAATACCACAGAAAAAATCGACAAATTACGCGAAGAAATGAGAGCAGAAATGTCATGATTAAAAGATTCCGTAGATGAAATCAGAAACTCAGTCTCTTCTCTTAACAATAGAATGACCGCAGCTGAAGAGAGAATCAGTGAGCTCGAAGATCAGCTGCACCAAGCCAACACGCAACAACAAACAGTGGCAAGGGACCTCAAAATAGCTCTACAGAGAATCAGAGTCCTAGCAGATGATTCCAAGAGGAACAACATTAGAATCATGGGACTACCTGAACCTCAGGGAAATAATCCCAACGAAAAAAACACCGTCAAACAAATCATTGCTGAAAAATTCCCAGAGCTCCACAATGCAGCCATTCAGGTTCAAGGAGCCCGAAGGGTGCCAGCTAAAAGAGACCCCAACAAAAACACTCCAAGACATATCATAGTTAGAATGATCCATGCTGCCGATAGAGACACAATACTGCAAGCAGCAAGGGCAAAGAAGGAAATCACATACAAAGGAGCACCCCTTAGATTCACAGCAGACCTATCAGAGGAAACCCTGCAAGCCCGAAGGCAGTGGCAAGATATAGTCAAAAAACTCACTGAAATGAATGCTTCACCAAGAATACTCTATCGGGCTAAACTCTCACTCAAACTTGAAGGAATGGTACACTATTTTCTAGATAAACAGCAGCTCAGGAACTTCATAGACTCAAAACCAAACCTAAAACAAGGCATAAAGGGGCTATTATAAGACAAGACAAACCCTACAACCACAACAGACCCTTACAGAAAGATGACACAAAACCCCATAACCATACTCTCTCTCAATGTCAACAGTCTAAATTCACCATTTAAGAGACACTGAGTGGCAAAATGGATACAGAGACAGAACCCAACATTCTGCTGCCTACAAGAAACTCATCTCAACAGCCAGAGCAAACACAGACTCAAAGTCAAATTATGGAAAACAATCCTGCAAGCAAACAGCTCCTTCAAAAAAGATGGGGTGGCCATACTAGTATCCGATAACATTAATTTCACGTTGAAAAAGATTAGAAGGGACAGTGAAGGCTATTTTCTCTTCATCAAGGGATACGTACAACAGGAAGAAATCACTCTTAAATGTATACGCACCTAATGAGGGAACAGCTAAATATTTAAAACAACTGCTAACAGATTTTAAGGAGGACATTGCAAGCAACACAATAGTACTTGGAAACTTCAACATAGCCTTATCACCTCTGGATAGATCAACAAGAACAAAACCCAGCAAGGAATTATTGGCTTTGGAAGAAGAAATAGAAGAGAAAGGGCTTATGGACCTATACAGGGCTTTACACCCCAAAAAGAAAGAATACATATTCTTCTCCAGTGTGCACGGAACATTTTCCAAAATGGACCATGTGCTAGGACACAAAACATACCCCAACAGAATCAGGAAGATAGAATTAGTATCATCCATCTTTTCAGACCATGATGCACTGAGGATAGAAGTGAATCACACAAAGACACGGAGAACCAAATCAAACACCTGGAAATTAAACAACTTGATGCCGAACAACGAGTGGGTCAGGAACGAAGTCAAGGACGAAATTAAAAGATACCTGGAAACAAATGAGAATGAAGACACAAACTAGCAGAACTTATGGGATGCAGCGAAAGCTGTATTAAGGGGAAAATTTATAGCTCTGCAAGCATATCTTAGGTCGGTAGAAACGATGCACATAAACAACTTGACCTCACAGCTCAAGATCTTAGAAAAGGATCAACAGAAAGAGCCTAAATCAGGCAGAAGGAAAGAGATCATAAAAATTAGAGCAGAAATCAACGACATGGAAAACAAAGAAACAATCCGAAAGATCAATGAAACCAAGAGCTCGTTCTTTGAGAAAATAAATAAGATAGATAAACCACTAGCAACACTCACAAAGAAACAGAGAGAGAGCCCTAATAAATCGAATCAGAAATAAGAATGGGGGTATCACAACAGAAACTAAAGAAATTCAAGAGATCATCAGAGACTACGTTGAAAGTATGTATGCCACGAAACACGAGAACCTAGAAGAAATGGATAAATTCCTGGATTCCTATCATCTCCCAAAGCTGAATCAAGAAGATATAGAGTACCTGAATAGACCATTCACATCAAGGAAATTGAAACTGTAATCAAAAGTCTTCCCAAAAACAAAAGCCCAAGCCCAGATGGATTTACTAGCGAATTTTTCCAAACATTTAAAGAGGACCTATTGCCAATTCTTCTCAAGCTTTTCCAGGAAATTGAAAAAACAGAAACTCTCCCAAACAGTTTCTATGAAGCCCATATCTCTCTAATACCAAAAGGAAACAAAGACACCACAAGAAAAGAAAACTACAGGCTGATATCCCTGATGAACACGGATTAAAAGATTCTCAACAAAATACTAGCCAATAGAATTCAACAACTCATCAAAAAGATCATACATCATGACCAAGTGGGATTCATCCCAGGGATGCAAGGATGGTTCAACATTCGGAAATCAATCAACATAATCCATCATATCAACAAAAGAAAAGATAAAAATCATATGATCATATCAATAGATGCAGAGAAAGCATTTGACAAGATCCAGCACCCATTCATGATGAAAACCCTTGCCAAAATGGGGATAGAGGGGACTTTCCTCAATATCGTTAAAGCCATCTACCACAAACCTACAGCAAACATCATCCTCAATGGGGAAAAACTGAGACCCTTCCCCCTAAGGTCAGGGATGAGACAAGGATGCCCACTCTCTCCACTACTGTTCAATATAGTACTGGAAGTACTTGCAATAGCGATTAGGCAAGAAAAAGATAATAAGGGCATCCAGATAGGGAAAGAAGAAATTAAGCTCTCACTATTCGCTGATGATATGATACTATACTTAGAGAACCCTAA